AAGAGGAGAGAGAAGAACCATATGGTACTCTCAATTGATGCAGAAAAAGCATTTGACAAAATACAACATCCTTTCCTGATTAAAACTCTCCAGAGTATAGGGATAGAGGGAACATTCCTCAAGCTCATAAAATCCATCTATGAAAAACCCACAGCGAATATCATCCTCAATGGGGAAAAGCTGAGAGCCTTTCCATTAAGATCAGGAACACATCAAGGGTGCCCAATCTCACCACTGTTGTTCAACATAGTACTAGAAGTCCTAGCAACAGCAATCAGACAAAGTAATAAAAGGTATTCAAATTGGCAAAGAAGAAGTCAAACTCTCTCTTTTCCAGACGACATGATACTTTATGTGGAAAACCCAAAAGACTCCACCCCCAAATTACTAGAACTCATCCAGCAATTCAGTAATGTGGCAGGATACAAAATCAATGCACAGAAATCAGTTGCTTTCTTATACACTAACAACGCAACTGTTGAAAGAGAAATTAAAGAAACGATTCCATTTACAATAGCACCAAAAACCATAAGATACCTCGGAATAAACCTAACCAAAGAGGTAAAGGATCTATACTCTAGGAACTACAAAACACTCATGAAAGAAATTGAAAAAGACACAAAAAGATGGAAAAATATTCCATGCTCATGGATTGGAAGAATAAACATTGTTAAAATGTCTGTGCTACCCAGAGCAATCTATACCTTCAATGCCATCCCCATCAAAATTCCAATGACATTTTTCAAAGTGCTGGAACAGACAATCCTAAAATTTGTATGGAACCAGAAAAGACCCCGAATCGCCAAGGAGATGTTGAAAAAGAAAAACAAAGCTGGGGGCATCACGTTGCCCGATTTCAAGCTATATTACAAAGCGGTGATCACCAAGACAGCATGGTACTGGCACAAAAACAGACATACAGACCAATGGAACAGAATAAAGTGCCCAGATATGGACCCTCAACTCTATGGTCAAATAATCTTTGACAAAGCAGGAAAAAACATGCAATGGAAAAAAGACAGTCTCTTCAATAAATGGTGCTGGGAACATTGGACAGCCACATGCAGAAGAATGAAACTGGACCATTCTCTAACATCATTCACAAAGATAAACTCAAAGTGGATGAAAGACCTCAATGTGAGACAGGAATCCATCAAAATCCTAGAGGAGAACATAGGCCGTAACCTCTTTGACATTGGCCACAGCAACTTCTTTCAAGATACATCTCCAAAAGCTAGTGAAACAAAAGCAAAAATGAATTTTGGGGCCTTCATCAAGATAAAAAGCTTCTGCACAGCAAAGGAAACAGTCAACAAAACAAAGAGGCAACCTGCACAGCAAAGGAAACAGTCAACAAAACAAAGAGGCAACCCACAGAATGGGAGAAGATATTTGCAAATGACACTACAGATAAAGGGCTGGTATCCAAAATCTATAAAGAACTTCTCAAACTCAACACCCAAAAAACAAATAATCAAGTCAAAAAGTGGGCAGAAGAGATGAATAGACTTCTCTGAAGAAGACATACAAATGGCTAACAGACACATGAAAAAATGTTCATCATCATTAGCCATCAGGGAAATCCAAATCAAAACCACACTGAGATACCACCTTACACCAGTTAGAATGGCCAAAATGGACAGGGAAAGAAACAACAAATGTTGGAGAGGTTGTGGAGAAAGGGGAACCCTCTTACACTGTTGGTGGGAATGCAAGTTGGTACAGCCACTTTGGAAAACAGTGTGGAGGTTCCTAGAAAATTTAAAAATAGAGCTACCCTATGACCCAGCAATTGCACTCCTGGGTATTTACCCCAAAGACACAGATGTAGTGAAAAGAAGGGCCGTATGCACCCCGATGTTCATAGCAGCAATGTCCACAATAGCCAAACTGTGGAAAGAGCCGAGATGCCCTTCAACAGATGAATGGATAAAGAAGATGTGGTCCATATATACAATGGAATATTACTCAGCCATCAGAAAGGATGAATACCCAACTCTTCCATCAACATGGATGGGACTGGAGGAGATCATGCTAAGTGAAATAAGTCAAGCAGAGAAAGTCAATTATCATATGGTTTCACTTATTTGTGGAACATAAGGAATAGCATGGAGGACACTAGGAGAAGGAAGGGAAAAATGGGGGGGGGGGAATTGGAGGGAGAGATGAACCATGAGAGACTATGGACTCTGAGAAACAAATAGGGTTTTAGAGGGGAGGGGGGAGGGGGGATTGGTTAGCCCGGTGATGGGTATTAAGGAGGGCACATACTGCATGGAGCACTGGGTGTTATACGAAAACAATGGATCGTGGATCACTACATCAAAAACTAATGATGTATTGTATGGTGACTAACATAACATAATAAAATTAAAAAAAAAAAGAAAAGGTCAAATTGATCACTGTCATGGAGTCAGTCAGGGGCAAATCTTGCTGGCTCAGGGCAGTCCTTATTGCTTGAGGGGTAGTTTTGTTCCCATCCAGGGATGCTTTGCCCTCAGGGACTTCCGCCTAAGCCAAGAGACCAGCTGGAAAGAACAACCCAATGAATGCAGCAGAAGTCCTCTTTCAACCCTTTTACTGTAACTTATTCTATGCATCTCTTTCATCTAGCTGTTCCTAAATTATATCTCTTTACAAACCAGTAATCTAGTAAGTAAAATATTTCTCTGAGTTCTGTGAGCGGCTCTAGCAAATTAGAACCTGAGGAGGGGAACATCCTATCTACAGCTGGTTGGTCAGGAGCACAGGTGACAACCCAGACTTGCATTTGACCTCTGAAGTGGGGGCAGGGGGTTGACTTATCGAACTGAGCCCTTAACCTGTGACATCTGATGCTATCTCCAGGTAGATAATATCAGGATTAAATGCTTGGTGGTGTTGAACAAAAGCACACATCAGAACTAATAAGTACATGACAAGATGATAAGCCAAGAAATGTAAATTAAAACTACAATGAGGTACTATTTCTTACCAACTAGATGAGCTTTCAGAAATAGGACTAATAATAACAAACACTGGAGACAATGTGGAGAGATAAAACATTTCATACATTTCTGGGAGAATGTAAGATAGTATGGCCACTTTGGAAACAGTTTGGCAGTTTCTCAAAAAAAGTTAAACATAAATAACCATAGGACCCGGTACTCCTAGGATATATAAAAACATAACCCCACATAAAGATTTGTGCATGAATGTTCACAGCAGCATTATTCATAATAGCCAAAAAGTGAAAACAACCTAAATGTCCATCAATTGATAGTCAAAATGTGGTATATCTGTCTAATAGAATACCACTCAGCAATAAAAAGGAAAGAACTACAAGCCATACTACAATATGGATTAACTTCAGCAAACATTGCTCTAAGTGTAAGAAATTAGACACAAGAGACTACATATTGTATGGTTCCTTTTATATAAAATGTCCAACAAAGATAATTTCATAGAGACAAAAAGTAGATTAGTGGATACCAGGACTGGAGACAGGCATGGGGATGGGAATGAGGATGGATTATAAGTGGGCTTGAATCTTTTTTGGGGAGATATAAAAATGTTCTCAAACTAATTTATAGTAGTTATTATATCAGTCGATAAGGTTACTAAAAAGCATTGAAATTGTATACTTGAAATGGGTTAATTTTATGACACTTGCATCTCAAAATCGCTAAATGTATATGTATATATAGCTTTTTGGTTTGCACATTATTACTTTTCATATCTTCCTATATAATTTGTGTTTTCTTTTTTTTTTTTTTTAAGATTTTATTTATTTGACAGAGAGAGACATAGCGAGAGCAGGAACACAAGCAGGGGAAGTGGGAGAGGGAGAAGCAGGCTTCCCGCAGAGCAGGGAGCCCGATGTGGGGCTCGATCCCAGGACCCTGGGATCATGACCTGAGCCGAAGGCAGACGCTTAATGACTGAGCCACCCAGGCGCCCCTAATTTGTGTTTTCTTAAGTTAAATCAAAGGGTGTAGGCTTCATTAGTTTGGCTTTTCAAAGCTGATTTAAGTGTTTTGTAATATTATGCATGGCCAAATTTTGACATTTTTAAGAGGAGTATTTTTTATTATCAGTGTACAAAAACTTAAAAATTATACTACATATTGATAATATTATTTAGATTGTATGCATATTTATTTTTGTTTTATCAATTAACAAAAGAAAAAGAAAAACTTAACTTTTCTGTTATAAACGTGTTTCTATTTTTCCTTGGGTTTCCTGATGACTCTATGGTTCCATGACTATATTACTTTGTGAATGAGTAGTCTCTTTAATCTTCATTATAATCTTCACTTAATCTTCATTATAAATTATATTATTTGTTATTTTTTTCATTTAATTATTTTGCCCAAATTTAAGTTCTTTTGATTTTAAATTACTAACCTGACCTTTTGGGTTTTGTTCATTTGCATATTCCTGGAATGACTTTATCTTTTTTATATTTGGCTTTTCTGGGTTATTTTGTAATGTGCATATTTTGTATACAATCCATTATTAGATTTTGTTCTTTCTTCTAATAGAGAGTCTTTTATTTTAAATGGTTGAGTAAGCCCATATACATTTATTTAAATGATATATATGCCTGGTTAATTATATTATTTATTTTTTCCCATTGCTTCTTTTTAATATTTCACTATATAAGCAATGCTTGTTTTCTTTTATGGAAGTTTGTGTTGTTTTCCTGACAATATGGAACGTTAATACATTTTCTAGGGGTCTTCCTTATGACTATTACTTCTAGCAATGTACTTAGTTACCTAAATCTTCAGACAGGCTCAGTAGATTTCTTCTACTCGGCCCCAACCACTGCTTATTTTGTGTCAATCAGAAAAGATTAGGTTATACTATGGTATAGAAGAACACAACCTTGCAGTGACTCATCACAACAAAGTTTAGTTCTTGTTCAAAGTTCCCTACAGTTTGGGCATCTCTCCAAAGCAGCTGTTCACTATGTGGCAACTCAGAATCCCAGGCTGCTTCAGTCTCATGACGCCTACCTCTCAACACAATGCTCTATGGTCCATTCTGCAGGAAATGAAATCATGGAAGAGTCTTCATCAGGAACAAAGTATGTCAGTCCGGAAGTGACAGCAGTCATTTCTGTTGACATCCTTTTGGCCATAAGCTTGGTCTTGGGAAGGAGAGAGTTTTCCTTGTAAGTATCAAGAAAGAGAAGCGAGCAAAATACCTATTCGATGATTTCAACTCTATTATTTTATTTAGTATCTACCTTTATATCTTTAAATAATCATTCTCATTTTTATACTTTTATCACTTTGATACTTGATCATAAAATGAATACTGATGATAAACTATGAGAAAACTAGACTATTTATTTTATCTTCCACTTTCTGTCCCCTTCCAGTCTTATCTTTATGATTTATATGATTTCAGAGATTATAAATTCCTCACTGCCTTTTGAAATGCAAGATCTATGTTTAAATCCCAGAACTTCTTCACAGACATATTTAATACTTATAATATATGACTTGGTATTACTATTTTGCTCTCCCAATATAGAAGTACAATTAAAACACAATGAAACTGATTAGATTCTAATCCTATTGGAACTAGTTTTTTGACTTTATTGTCACTCTTAGTCTTATTTCCATAATCATATTGTAAGCTCTCTGCAGTAGGAAGAGAAGTAACTTATTTTTCTATAACATCTAAGAAATAATGAGGCACAAAAAATTATTTTTCAGAACTGTTTTGTTTTGTTTTAATTAGCAACATGTTCAGTTCTGAATTTCCTTTCAGAGGGAATTCCTGAAGTTTTGGACCAATACAGACTAAATACATCAGACTAATAAGTGCCATGGTTACAAAATATGGTAAATGAAGGAGAATATGATTTCAAATTTAATTAGATTTTATCTTACTATCACTATATAGAATGGCTTTTCAAACATACTATTCAGATTGAAAACTTGTTGAAATAAATACATATGATAAAATGGTAGGAAAGCATTAGATTGGATCAGAGCAACAGTGCATAAATCACATGATAGCAAATTCTCCTTACTAAGAGGACAGAAAGAAAAAAGTTATCCTATGGATCCTATTTGCTGTTAACGTTATATATCTTCATTATATAGATATTATGTGTGCATATAAGCATGTATATATGTATATGCACAGATCCTAAAAGTAAATGAGACATATCCATTCAAGTTATTATTTAAAAAATATGAAATGTTGCTTATCTACATTATTAAGCTTTCAAATTTAATACACAAAATAGTACTTTTCAATATTATACTATCAGATAACATTAAAATTTACTAAGAACATTTTACGTATCAGGTACCAAACATACAAACAGAATGCAAAGGATGTTACATTTTATACAACAATGTCCAATGTAACTTTGGAGGTTAAAAATAAAACTTCTGATTATTGAAATAATGACAATGGAAAGTTGAGAAATGCTAATGAATTGCAGAAAAGCTGTCTATATTATTACAACAAAATCCACCAAGTTACCTATGAAAATATAATTTCAAAGTCTTACACTGCCATTTATTTCAGTGATGAATGAAATTTTTTTCATAAGGAAATGAGATATCATAGGGCTTAAGTTTTAATAAAATTTTTTATTGAAGTAAAACTTATATAAAGAGTACAGGATCTATTTTGTCAGTGAACAAAGAGATTTCAACAAATTTTTAGATGCTGAAAGGAACATCACAGTCGATTCCATAGATGGTCTTTAAAACATATTAGACACAGCTGAAGAAAATATCAGTGGACTAGAAAATAATGGACAGAAGCACAGAAAGGCAAAATGATGGAAAATAGGCCAAACAATATAAACAATATAATATATGGCTTTGTATTGTGAAAATGTCTAACATGCGTGTATTTGGAATCTTAAAATGAAAAGAGAGAAAAGACAGAAATTTTATGGAAATAAATAATATCAAAAAATTTACAATACTATTTATGATGTCAACCTACATAATCAAGAATCTCTATAATATTAAAACAAGATAAATAAATAACATTGTATTTAACTCTAACATACTAAACATTCTATAAATAAATCAAATAGAAAATATTCTGTGAAACAAACTGAGGTTTCTAGAGGGGTGGGGGATGGGGGATGGGTTAGCCTGGTGATGGGTATTAAAGAGGGCACGTTCTGCCTGGAGCACTGGGTGTTATACGCAAACAATGAATCATGGAACACTACATCAAAAACTAATGATGTAATGTATGGTGATTAATATAACATAATAATAAAAAATAAAGAAAGAAAAAAAAGAACAACTAAAAGGGGGGAAATTAACTTATTTAAAGGAGAAAAATAAGACTAAATGCTGATATCTTAACAAAATTGATAGAAGAACAAAGGCCTGTGGAATAACATCAAAAAAATATTTGCCCATTTTCCTCACTATGAAGCAGCTTTCTATAATGTCCAAAATGTAAACTCATAAACTTGCACAGATTGGCCGTTCAAATTAAACACATTTTCTTATTTAGTTAAATTCAGGACCATGACTCAGGCATTCTCACAATAGCAATTTTTAGACTATTTTTATTCCCTTTGATTTGGGATATTTTAATATTATCTTTGGTTTATAAATCTATTTTATTTCTACTTCTCATATTCTAGAGTATAAACCCACATAATTAAACCAACTTTTAATTTGGCATTTTAAATTATATACTGTATCGTTTCTTCCCTGTACTATTTTTCTGAGCTGTTCTTCTCCAGGGCAGAAGTAAGTGTTCTCTCATTTAAGTATCCATCCCTACAGTATGGTATTTCTGTATTAATGTTGATTCCATTATTCTGAAACTTTTTAATCATGATTTTTCTAATAAACTGCAAGCTCTTTGAGAGCACAAGTACTGCTTCTTCTGTTCATCATCTACCAAACTGCCCGGCACAGAATAAGTGCTCAATAAATGTATGATTTATAAATAAATGAGTAAAGAAGTGTTAATCCAATCCCTACTTATTTTACACATTTTAAATATTCAAATGACTGTGACTAATTCCCAATCCATACGCAGTGAGAGATTTAATCTTCCCAACGTATCTGATCAGGATTCCATGGAAGGGAATGCTATTCATTACCTAGCAGATTAAAGTTCATCTAATAAAGTAATACATGAAGAATGTCTTGTGCAATGAGTAAATAAAAGGACATGAATATTCTGAAAGAGAGATTCTATCATCTTTTCATAAACTGCTGCTGATATATTATAACCTTGTGAGGATCGATGCCATATATCAATTTAGAAGGCAGAGAAATTAGTAGCAGGGTTGGTCTCACTTTGAGGCAAAACAATTTCAAAAAAAACAGACTTCCAAATTTGCTGATTTTCCACCTCCATTTTTCTATTCATCCAGAATGTGGGTGGAGAGTCAGTACTCTTAGGTTTTATACTCTTCTGCTTTTCTCAGGAGATGAAGCCTAACCATGCTGCCATAAAATATTAAAAGGATGGTAGAAGCAAAATGATTTATAAACAAAAATCTACAGAGGTTTCCATTCTTAGGGAGAACAGTATCTATAAATAAAAATCTATAAAAGTCTAATTCCAAAATAGTGTTTTTTAGATCTTCCTTTTAAGGGTGAATTATTTCTAAGTTTCAAAATAAGAATACCTTTCTACTCCATTTGTAATTTGCTTCTATTTCTTATATTTCCTTAAAATTATTATCACTTAAATAAAACTATCAAATAACTTTTTGTCTGGTATTTGTGATTATAAGCTGTTTATCTCTTCACCATCATAAAATGTATTCTCTATATCCTGTCATAAATTTGGGATCTTGATTTAATCAACTGAATTGTCAACCTGAAAAATGGGGTCATCATTGAGACTGGTTCAGTAGGTCACACCATCCAGATTCTATGTTGTGGGGGAAATGGTGAATTTACCTTTGAACAGCGATCATATTGAACAGCGATCATATATCTGGGTCTCTACTTTCACATAATTTATCTCTGATTTCTGAAATTCTTTGCAGAAGTAATGACTTACCACAATGTTAAAAAAGGAGACTCACATGTTCCCATTCTTTGGTATTATGAATGCGAAGCTTTTAGGGTTTTTGTTATTGTTGTTCCACAGTGACCTCAGAGGCCATGTATTGAAGATGGAAGCCCCACAAGATTAAATGAATTTGGATCTACAAGTCTGTGTCTCTGGAGGAAAGCCTGAGGCTACCTGTATTGGACTTTCTAAGAGAGAAAAAAACTTATGTGATGCTAAGCTACTGAGGTTTTCGGGGTTTGTTTATTGCCCCACTGTACAATCCCAAATATTTTTTACTGAGATGTACTTGATATATAACCAATGATTTGGTATATGTACATATTGTGAAATAATCACCACAATGAGTCTTGTTAAAATTCATCATCACACAGAGTTGCAAATTTCTTTCTTATGATGAGAACTTTTAAGATCTATTTCTCTCAGTAACTTTCAAATATATAGTACAGTATTATTAGCTACAGTCACCATGCTGTACATTACATCCACAGGACTCATTGATTTTATAACTGGAAAGTTGTACCTTTGACCACCTTCTCTCATTTTGCTTACCTTCCACCTCCTGCCTCTGGCAAACACCAACCTGTTCTCTATATCTGTAACTTTGTGTGTTTTTTTCTAATTAGTTTGTGTTAGATTACACATATATGTGAGATCGTAGGGTATTTGTCTTTCTCTGTCTTAGTTATGTCACTTGGCATAATGCCCTCAAGTGTCATCTATGTTGTCCCAAATGACAAGACTTCCTCCTTTTTTATGGCTGAATAATATTCCATTTTTTATGTCACATTCTCTTTATCCATTCATCCATCAATAGACATTTCGGTTGCTTCCATCTCTTGGCTCTTGTAAATGATGCTGAAATGAACATGGGGTGCATATATCTTTTTGAGTTAGAGTTTTCATTTCTTTTGGATAAAAAAATAGAAGCAGAATTGCTGGGTCATATGATAGTTCTAATTTTTTGAGAAAACTCCATACTGTTTTCCATAGTGGCTGCACCAATTTACATTCTTACCAACAATGAACAAGGGTTCCCTTTTCTCCACATTCTCACTAACACTGTTATTTC